TAAAATGTCGTCGCAAATAAAAAATTATTTGCGACGACATTTTCGTCGCAAATAAAAAATTATTTGCGACGACATTTTCGTCGCAAAAAACACAAACATCGTCGCAAATAAATTTTTTTTCCCGCCCATACTTGCTCGTCAACTAGATTATTTGCGACGACCATGAAACAATGTCGTCGCAAATAAGCTGAACTTATTTGCAACGACAAGTCGTCGCAAATATGGCCAATTGTCGTCGGTAAAACGTGGGTTACATTCGCGCCAAAAATCCACGCCATCGAAATTTGCGCGGTAAAATTATTTGCGACGACAAATAATTTATTAGCGACGACATGTGGATTTTTTTAAACAGGAGTTATTTGCGACGACATGTCGTCACAAATAGTCTACTTTTTGTGACGACAAATGTCGTCGCAAAAAATGTCGTCGCAAATGGGCATATTTGTTGTAGTGTGTTCTGAATTGACTGTCGTTTTAAGGGACTTAGTAAAGGACTTGCGTAATCTAATGTGGGAAGTAAATTGGCCAATTAATGAGGTTATTTCTTGTAGCCTTAGAAATACCGATCAATAAATAGAATAAGAATATACGCTAACGGATATTCTAATTGAGAACCCTACTTGCTTGTTACAGAGAAAGAGAAAATTAGAGTGAGATTCTTCTTCTTGTGACTCCAGTAAGAGATTCTAGAGAGAGAAGTTGAGGGTGTAATCTTCTTGATTCTAGTTAATACAAGTTTTTTTTCTTGAGGTTTTTCCTGAGGAAGTGCATTATCTCTGTTGATGTTCTTCTTTATTTGTCGATTATTTTCTTTCTTCTGGGCTTCTGTCATAACATATATATATATATATATAATAGAATATCGATGAGAGAAATTTTGGAATAAATCGGGTCAGGTAACGGAAGAAGGTCACGTGCATACTCTCACGAAGGGCACATGCATATATACTCTCACGAAGGTCAATATACATGATTTTTAAGATTATTAGGTTTAATTTATAGCTAGCCAGTTGGTTTACCGTTAAGTATATTTCACTTTCCCCGGTCGCATGCATATATTGCATATACTTTCTTCTTGTTTGGGCAGATCTAGTGAACGTTTAGAAAATGGAGCTCTCTCTGTGCCAGCTGGTAAATAATCTCAAAAACACTAATCATATACTTATCTCACGATAAAAATAAATAAGATTTAGAACAAACATAATCAAAATGAAAAAATAAAGCTGCAGTGTAAAAATTAAAAAAAAAGTTAAAAAAATTTACTAAAATAATGAAATAAATAAATTTTAAAACAAGAAGAATTAAAAAAATCTCACGATAAAAAAAAAAGACTAAAATGAAGAACTTCCCTATTTGTTATAACGGTTGCTAAGTGGTCAACGGGGTATACCAAAAAAATTCCCTATTTGTTATTATTTTTTTCTCTCTTTTTTTTTTTTCTTTTTCTTTTCGTTAATAGTTATTTTTTTTTCTCGAAGTATGTACTCCTTCTTTTTCTCGCTCGCAAGTTTTCCGCTGACACTTCCCCTTTACCAAACCCTCAAATCTTTGGCCATCAACTTCTAAAAAGCCCTCGTAAGATCAATACTTGTGTCCCCGGTTCTCATATGATAACTAAGGATTTGAGCAAAGCAACTTTTTTTTGAGGCTGAGGCAGCCAGAAAATTAGGAGATTTATCGTTGGTGGTTAGTATTTTATTTTATTTTATTTTATTTTATTTGAATATGATTCTTATCTTCTTGAAGAGATTTGCTTAGATTGGGGTTAGCTTTTCTGAATTTCTTTTATTTTTATAGAGTTCTAATAGGAGTAGAGTCAGTAGATCCAATTTCCATTCTGTATATATAAATATTTACAGCCCAACACTAAAAGAAAGTGAAAGAGAGATTTGTTTTTGTTTCATATTTCATATAAATCTTTGAAAAAAAAATATGAATAGGCAGAGCGATCAAACTCGCAAGGCGAGTCGAGGCGAAGCGAAGCACACAGTCATTAAAGAAAGGTTCTCTCTCAGAAAAAACAAAAAAAAAAAAACATGGAAATAGGTATGCATGTCTCTACTCACTATTCGCGCTGCGCAGTACTATCAAATCTTTATTTTAATTTTCAAGTTATATAAATTCATTAAACGAAATCATTATCATTATCAATGGAATGCTTGCGAAGAAGTTGTCTAATCAAACATGGAATGGAAATTTACTAGTGCCTTTACATACAGCTTCTGTTCCGACTCAAAAAATTACATCCTAATTTTGTCTCATTCAGCATATAACCAATATTTATCATGTACTAAATCCTGAGATATTGTGGCCTTAAAAACAAGGATGAAATTTTTGCTAATTGCTACATTCTTCTGTATTCACATTATACGTCAAGATTATAAGCAATGTAATTACCAATCGTCATTTAAAAGTTGTTTAAGAAATTGGCTTGGCCTCTATCTCTGTTACCAATTACATTCTTGTCGAAGTCAAAGAAGAAGAATTTTGATGTTTGATTAATTGTCAATTTTTATTGGAAGCCTCAGAAATGAGGAGGAGATTTTGCCATGACCAAGACC